AAAATTCTTGATCCATCAGCAACAAAAGTGAATCAATCAGTTCCCAAAAGCCAGGCTGGTGAGAAGAAAGCCAGCCCTGCCCCTGGCATGTGGAACTAATCCATAACTTAAGCAGAAAAATATTGATAATGTTGCTGCTGCAGACATATTTATGTCCTTTATTATATGCACCACGAGGAGCGATTTTCTCCCCCCCTGCCTGGCTCTGAGTGTTATTGTAAATCGTGCACAACTGCTTTGCTTTCTCAGGGAGGGAAACCACGGCTCTATTTTTACCATCTCACGATTTTGCCATTGCTCCATCCCGAGGAAGGATTGAATTTCCTGGACAGCGTGGGCTCTGCTGATGGGAGATTCCTTTGGGCTGTCCTTATAAGGAACCCGAGGTTCATCCCCACAGCACTGTGACCCCCCCCCCCCCCTCTGTGCATGCTGATGGATGGCACAAAAAGGATGGGGAAAAGGAAGGAAAGGAGAGCTTGGGGCTGGAGATTAACAGCTGAAAAAGAGAGGGGGAACGGTTGGAGAGAGGCATTAGGAGAAATTACAGGCATGGAAATCAAGGAGGGTAATCAAAACCAGGTTGGGACACTTTGATAGTAATGGAAATCAGGTTTGTGTGAGTTTGGGGAATGTTGCATCCCTCCGTTGCCTTCCCTTATGGGTGGGATGTGAACCCTCCTAGCTCAGAGCCCTGCGTTCAGGGTGCTCAGAGCCTTTGCCCCATGACAGGCACCCAAACACAGCCCCATCATTCTGACCCCATGGTTTCATCAAGGACACCCAAGAGCCAAGATCTCCTGTCAGGAGCCCAAATCAAAGCACAGCAGCAGGGCAGCCCCATGGCCCCATGCCATGCAGCCCCTCACCACGTACCCCCCATATCCCCCATGCCCTCCACTCTCCTCACTGCTGTGCATCTCCCCCAGCACTGATCTCTGTGTGATTCCCATCTGTACTCCAACACCAATGGGTACAGCAGTGCAAAGAGATCACTCTGAGATTGTGGGATCTTTTACCCCCAGCCCAATTGGGAATGGCTGAATAGGTGAAATCAACCCCAAAATCACCATCTGAGTCCCATACCATAGGAATAACTGCCTGCTCAGCACAGGTTCTGGGTTTTACAGCACCCCACACATTCTGCAGCCTGTGTGTAACCCCCACATAAAGAAAAAGGGGAAGGTTTTGCAGGCAGTCCCTCCCTGGCTGCAAAATCAAGAGAGCAGTTTTCCCCTGAATGGTAAAATGCTGCTGCCCAAGCCTGCAGCAGCCCAGTGCTCCTGCACCTCACCTGGGGCAATGATCAGCAGTCCCTAAACCACAGCTGGGGATGGATCTGTTCACCCCACAGCTCCCTATCACTCCCTCAGTGCAGAGCAGATGGGTCTGGGGCTGCAACAGCACCTGGCAAGGGATGGGAGTGAGAACCCTGCTGTGCACAAAAGCCCTAAAAGCTTCTACATGCCCAAATCCCATTGACTGCATGGAGAACCAGAGGGAGCCTTCAGCTTCCACTCATCCCTTCTCCCTTCCTGCTCTCCAGAGGTGGCCTTGGCCCTCATCATAGTGCACAGCACAGCCCCCAGCCTTATTCCCAGCCCTGGAAGCCCACCCCATAACACTGCAGCACCACATCCCACCCGTGCTTTTCTCTGTAGCCCTCTATTCACTCTCTCAGCCCCGGGGCAGCACGGTGATATTTTCCCAACATCTAATTATCTATTCATCTGTATTTATAATGTAGCATTACTGCGTTGCTGTCTTCGTTGGGAAACTAATTCCCAACGCTTTTTAGCGAAACCGATAAGAAGTTTGAAGGCAGGAATTTGCTCTGAACTTCTGTGTTTGTGCTATTTCCAGGAGTCCTTGTAGGGTGGTGGGAGGGTCTGAAAACATAGCTTGGAGACCTTTGGTCTTTGCAAAGCGCATGGGGGCAGACCTGGATGAGCCTGAAGGAAGATAAGGATAGAGCGAGACGGGTGCTGTGTCCTTGGGAGGGACTGGATGCAGTGTTTTGCTGAGCTGTAATTGGGCTTTTGCTAATTAAACCTCCCTGCTCCAGTGGGGGGAGGCCCATGGGGCACAGCTGTCTCTCCCAGGAATGATGCTTCCCCTCAGGAACCCTCCCTGCTTGCTCTTCACCTCTGCTCTCAGCCCCACTCCTTGATGTTCACATTCACAAATAAGGTTGAGCCCAGCCAACCCAGGGAACCCCACGGTGCTCCCCCAGCAGTGAATCCTCTGTGCATGACCTCCCAGCCCAAAATGTGGTCAGGAGCCAGCAGCAAATCCAGAAGCCCCATTTTTCCTTACAGGCAGATGGGCTGCTCTCCGTTCTCCAACCTGCTCTCAACAAACAGCATTGCTGGAGGCAAGCATAGTGTCACTGCAGTGTATCTCACTGTGGCTCAGGAGGACCTGGAGCATCACTGAGCCACAATTTCAGCCCCCTTCAATGGCCAGGAGCTGCCCCAGGGCATGGCTGGCCGTGCTGTGGCACAGGGAGCTGATTGAGGGTGGGCAGACCTCTTGGTTGGGGTTGGGATTTGCAGGGCAGCAGCCAGTGCTGTGCTGTGCTAGCAGCCCTGAGGATGATCTCTGAGCAAATGCAGAGCCTTTGTTTTAATTCTGAGAGGTGACAGCAGACTTTTAAGAGGCCTTTTGTCATTGCACAGAGCCAGGAAAGGGCCACAACCTTTCTGGGGGAGAAAAAAAAGCATGAGGTGGGGGTTAACATACAGCTCTAGGAGTGCTTTAACCAAAGGAGCCACACGGGTTGGGATGGAGCAGCAGTTTCCACTTACTTGTGCTGGCTGCTTGCCCGGCCCTGTGCAGATGCAGCCCATCTGAGCGGCCGTCTCTGTCCGTCTGTCTCTGCTTTGCATCACTGCTGTGAGGTTTTTCTTGGGGTGACATTCGTGGTGGTGTCTGAGCATCATAAAACACCCGAGTTCTGCACTGGGACTTGGGGGAGTTCCTCCTGTCGTCCCCCCTCCAGGGGAGTGCTGCAGCACGGCGGTGCATCCCACGGGGAAAGGCCACAGCCTGGGGTGGAGAAAACCTGCTTTGGCAGGGGGGTTGGACTCAATGATCTCTGGAGGTCCCTTCCAACCCCTACAATTCTGTGATTCTGTGATTCTGTGAATGGATGAAATGGACCCATGGCAGCAGCTCAGCTTCCCCTCAGCTCACTGCAGCAGAACAGCAAAGGCAATTGGAGTTATAAGACCCAGGCTGCTCCCCCCGCTGTGCCTGGCTCTGCCAGATGTCCACAAGCTTTGCCCCATTTCCAATCATCCAAGCATTGAAAAGGGCAATGCTTGCCTCATGGTGGGTGGCAGCCATCCCATCCCCATGTCCCCACCCCCACATCCAGGCTCTGTGCATGCTGCCCTGTCCCCAGCTGGCCCTGAACCCACCACCATGTGGCTCACACGTGTTCCCATGTCACCGCATCAGAGGACAAACAGCAGCTTTGGCTTCGGGTTAATCTTATTTAAAGAGGGACTTTCCTCAAAGCCCCAGTCCCAGCTTCCCACAGCACGGTGTATGGGAACTGCTGATCCCAGCCTGAACCTCTGATTGATCACCTTAGGTGAGCAATGAGTCAGCCCTGGGAGCACAAGTGAAAGCAATTCACCTGTGCTGCCAGAAGGGATGGAGCCTGGCTGCATCTCTCCTAGAACCATTTAGGAGTGGGGAAGGATCTCTTTCTGGAGATACCTCCTTTTGGAGTTTTCCAGTGAGCCCTGGATAAGGGTATAAGCCCTCTATCTATTCTTTTTTTTGGTGTAATAACCTGCTTAGCCAAACTCTTTTGTGTATTTCTTAATTATAACACCTATATATCTATTGATTATACAGCGGGCCAGGAGCTGCCAACCACGCAAGCATCACAGATTGTAGACTTATAGAGTCACTAAGGTTAGGAGCTCGCTGCTCGAGAGGGAATCCAGCTTGTGTCTGCCAACAGGATAATGTTGTGATCCCAACACAGTAAAGCTGAGAGATGGGCAGCAGCAGGGTGGCACAGACAGACCCACAGACACCACTGCTCCATCCTATGCTAGGTGAAAGAACTGGGGGCAGAGTGATGTGAGCAGGGGGTGAAGGAATCCTTCATTCCTCCCAACCCCGGCGCCAGCATTTCTGAGCAGCTTCCAGCAAACCTTCTCACCAAAGCCACACAAAACTGGCTGCATTCTTTTTTTCCAGCAAACCTTACAAAGAAAGTTTTTGGTGCTGACACACCAAGGCAGGAGCCAAACCGAGCTGGGGAAAGGCCGTGACATTTCCAGCTCCACTCCCTGACACGCAGCTGAGCTCACAAGCACGGGGCTGGGGCTGGGCAGGATGGGGACAGAGCAGCTCTGTAGTAAAGTGAAATGCAGGGGAGCAGCACATGTTGGGGCTGTAGGAGAGGAAGGATGTCAATGTGTTGTTTTGCACCTGCGGGTGGAACTACAAACAGAAGCAGGTGGCTCTGGGCACTGCAGCCTCTCTTGCAGTGACAAAGGGAAATTCTCTCTGTGGCTGGGATTGCTGTGACAGTGCTGAGTTTGGGTGCTGGGGGTGTCACCTGCTGGATATTGTCCCTTGGCCGTGCAGCCAGAGGGGATCTGGTCACCCCATCCCAGCCACAGCTCGGAGCCTTGCTCTGTTCTTCTAATTAACGAACCTATTTGCAAACCCATCTTGAGGACGGTGCTGGTGGAGGGCTGGAGCGAAGTGTGCAGAGATGGATGGACGTGGGTGTGTGAGCGACGGACAGGCAGACAGACAGCAGGGAAGAGTGTGTGGGGAGAGATGGACGCGAATCATTGAAGGGTGGAGGGGACGGCTGGACTGAGACCAAATGCAGCCGAAAGCTTTTCGTGGGGGGGAGGTGGGTGCTGGGGAGGGGTCCGGGCTTTGTGTACCGACAGAGGAGGGTGCTGGCTCGGCTGCTCGCCGTGATGCTCCGGGGGCGGAGAGGAGGAGGAGGAGGGACTTGCAGCCCTTTTCTGGTGCTGCCGAGGCGGCGGGCGGCAGAGGGAGGGCAGCCCGGGGGATGCGAGGCGGCCCCGGCGCACCATGGCCGGGTTCGTACCGCTGCTGCTGCTCCTGCTGCAGGCGGTGAGTGCGGGGCTGCGGGCTGAGCCCAGGGGGGCCGGATCCAGAGGGGAGCGGGCAGGGAGAGCACGGGCTGCCCTGGTCCCGCTGGCACCGGGTGGGGGTGGGACGGAGGGGTACCAGGGGACTGTGGGGTTCTGCTTGCAAGGTCCCGGGGGTATCGGCAAGTGGGAGTGCCAATTGTATGGGGACGGAGGGTCCCAGAAGGTTTGGGTGCAGAGGGAGAGGAGTGGGGAGGTGGGTGGTGGTGGTGGTGGTGGAGACACCTTAGGGATGGACACCATAGGGATTTCTCGTGCAGCCCCTTGTGTCCTGCTGGCACCGAGCTGGGCTCTGCTGCCCCTTTTTTCCCCACAGGAGGTTATGGGAAGAAAGCAGCCCCAGCTCTGTGCCCCCACCTCCCGAACCCCACACCTTCAAAAACTCTCACAGACCTGGCTCCAAACTCACTGCTCAATGTGAAGGGCAAAACCGGGATGGGCAGAGCCTCAGCCTGTGCTGGAGATAAAACTTAGGGATAAGGGGGACCAGAGAAGAAGGAGACACACAGAGCAGGGGATGTGGGGATGCACTGAGCCACCCGGGGCAGAAATAGGGCTTTTGCTGCAGGAGGATCTGTGGGGTCCCAGAGGGCTCAGTGGGCAGCAGGAAGCTCTGGGGCAGGGTGTTAAAGCTGCTGCTTCAGCAGGTTCATGTGGAGACTGACGGGGAGAGCAGTATGGATGGCTCGTGGCTCCAAGCTGGGTTTGGTGTCCCCATGTCCTGCAGCCAACCCCTCAGGTCTGAGCTGCCCCTAGGATTGCACCTGCTGAGCCCACCCAGCCCCATAGAGATCTGCTGTAGTTGGAAACCCACTGCTCCTCCTAGCCTTGAGCAGGACAGGTCAAACGTGCCTCACAGCTGTGGCTGTACCCTCAGCACCCCATTTCCATGGCACATTACCTGTGCTGCTCAGACTGAAGCTGATTTTGCTGGGGGGGGAGGCAGAGCTTTGCAAGACCCACACAGATCAGATGTGGCTTCTCCCACTGCCCAAAGTTTGGGGAGTGTAGGGATCCAGAGCTTTGGCCTTTTCTAGACAGGGTGCCCCGCCAAAATACACAGAACCCGTCTGTCAGCCTCGCGGGCCGTTCGGATCCAGGCTTGCTGCTGGGCCCGTCTCCAGCTGCAGCATTGCTGCCGTTCCCCGTTTCGGAGCAGCACAGATTTCCTTGCCAGGGTTTGGGAGATGATGCTGCTGCGCTGCGCTCATCTTCTTCCAACGCCACCCCCTGTAGGGCAGGGGAACGCCAAAACTACTCCAAAAGCAATTAAAAGCTTTCAAAGGTGTTGCTCGCACCCTCAGCGCGTCCCCCTTCCTTCTCCCCCCCTCAGTCCAGCTGTCAAAATGCTTTATGGTGTTAATACCTGTGGCTTTGTCAACGGGAGTTGTGTTAATAACATGCACATTTCAGCGGGCTAATGCAGACCATGTGCCCCTCTTATAAGCGTGTTAATCTTTATGGATGTTTCGGCGCTTGAGATGCAGAAAGGGAAACGTAGGCGTGGGGAGAGGGGGGGGAGGGTGCAGCATCTGGGGCTGGAAGGTGCGTTTTCCACGTCGTTTAGAAACGCGGAGGGTAGGACAGCCCTACGAGGAGGGGACCGTGGAGCGTTGCACAGCTGGGGGGAGGTCGGGGCTGGGGGGGGTCCGGTCCGGTTTGGCACAGAGGAAGCAGCGCAGCCGGGTTCTGTCCCTGTGGGGTTGCTCTGCAGCTGCCTCAGGCGCGGGCGGCGTGGGAGAGCTGGCTGCTGCGGCCCCAGCTGCACCGCTGCGGCCTTTCCAACACTATTTATAGCCAAGTTCGGATGCTCCCCGCTTCCCCAAACCTTCCCGAGCAGGGGGACACGCTGCAGGTGCTGGGGAAAAGGAAGCAACGGGTTGAGCTCCAGCTCCACTCTCTGCAACGGGCATCGCTGCTGCCTAGAGCTGTCCCTGTTGCAGAGCGAGCCCTTTGCTCGTCCCCAAGCCCATTTCCCAGCTGTTATTTGAGGGTGCTGGGTGGGTCCCCCAATGCCAAGCATCCTACCCGTGCAGCTGGGGATCGGTGCCAAGCCGGGCTGGCAAAGCGGCGCTGAAAGAAGGCACACGCTTCCAAGCGAAGGGTAATTGGAGCACTTTGTCATTCAGATGCCTATAATTGGCGCTCCATTGTCTCGGGCCGGGCCGGCTTATGCCGGCTGATGCGTCCATGAGTTCATAACAGCGCATTGTGCAGAGCGGCGGCCAAACGGCTGACGAGGAGTCCAGATGCACGGGGACTGGGAGCTCCTCTGCTGCCGGGAGAATTCTTCCCCCCCTCACTCCCCCCAAAATCAGCCTCATCTTGGTGGCAAAGGGACAGTCCCCCCGAAAGGAGCACATCCCCGACAGCAGCCTCCCCATCGAGCACCATCGACCCGAGAGCGAGTGCCTAGAACCACCCTGGATGGTCACAGCACCGCTGTTGCTGCTGTCCCTTTCGGGTGGCCCCAGCTCTGAGCATTGCCCTGCCTCCTCACTGCCTCATTCTCAGTGTGTCCGACCAGCAGCCCAACAGCACCATCTGCCCTGACACCATCTGCCCCGTCCTCCTTCCATACAAACTCATCCCAGCTGCCGCACGAGAGTTTCCCCTCCTGACTGTGAGCAGGAGGAGCAAAGCCAGCCCCACACATCACCCCTGGCCAAGGAGTGCTCTGGGGAATGGCCATCTCTGCTCCCCATGTTACAAAGTGGATGTGCAGAGGTTCTAACCGCACAGCTCATGGCACATTTATTGCTTCCATATGTGATGACAGGTTTTATAAGCTAGTACACTTATTCCTGTCAGACAGCTGAAGCTCTCTGCGCTCCTGTCAAAGTCTTCATTTCCACCGAGGGGGCTGATTTCTGATCCCAGTGTAGAAATGGGACCTTAGCCCTCTGAACCCTTCACTTGGGCTGGCAGCTTTTCCCAGGCAGGGGAGGGCTGTGACAGCACAGCATCCATAGAGAAAACGACTTCTGTGATGGGATGTAAGGCTGTAACCCTACAGAAAAGCCAGCATCCCCCTAAGACCCACAAGCCCAGACCAAGGACTGTCATTGCCTCCTTCAGTCAGCACTACTTAGCAGAAGCTTTGCAAATGAGTGAGCTTTGCATAGGAAAGTCATTTACCTCCCCTTTCTCCCAAACTCAATACCTAACACACAGCCTCCCCTTTAGCCCAGACATTTAATTCCACCCCACAACACAACCCTCCCTGGATGCAACATCTCTCTCTGCCCATCGTTGCAATTCCTGTAACAAGAATCATCTCTGGGCTGTTTTTTCTCCCAGGGACCCACCTGGGGCTCCAAGGAAAAGTGCTTGACCGAGATGTACACGACGAGTGGTGAGTGCTGCAAAGCCTGCAACCTGGGCGAGGGCGTTGTGCAGCCCTGTGGGGTCAACCAGACCGTCTGTGAGCCCTGCCTGGACAGTGAGTAGTGATACATGGGGGCTTTTGGGGAACACGAGTGGGCACCTGTGTGTCTGTCCTATGGACATCCATTGTGTGGATGCGCTTTGTGTCATTGGGTTCCATTTTCCCATTGCACAGAGCCCCAAACCTCAGCATTCTTTCCAGCATTTCCCCAGTGCCTGCCCAGCAAATGCCAGCAGCTCTCCCTGTTTGGGGACCCATTGGTGCCAGGCATCAGATTCCCTTCCAGTTCCTCCATTGCATGGATGGCTCCTCGCTTGCAATTGCCTCCTGGATTTTCCTCTTCCCACACTGCTTTCCAACCCAGCCATGGGGATATCTCAGGAGCCACCTGTACTATTGCTACTTTTACCTTGTAAAGGCCGCGAAATAAAAGCAAGTCGGAGGGGAGAGAAGCAAATCACGAGTCCCCAAGAGAGGCGGGGAGCTTTCTGCTGGCTGACTCCAGGCACATTGCCTATGTCAAATGCTTCATAAATGTCGGCCGGAGCTTTGCGCAGGAGAGCTGGTTAAATGCTTGCAGATGAAGTGGTCCAGCTATTACTGTTTAAACAATGCCATGATAGGCAGAAAACGATCTACCCTGCAAATTTACTGCTGCAAGCTCTTTGAAGACCTGGGGACAAATATTTGTAGGGGGATCTGTGCCAGTCAAGCTCTGATTTGAAAGGCAGAATTGGCAGAGCACGATTGTAGGGGAAGTAAAAAGAGTCAGAGAGCGGGGGGGGGGAGAAGCCCTATAACCTGAGCAGCACCAGCACAGAGCAGTGTCAGAGCAGTGCTAAAAATACCTCTGCCTTTCTGCAAAATCAATGAGCAGCGCTTGCCCTCCGAGCTGCATCCCCCTGGTTGCAACCTTGGGGCAGGTTTGCTCGCTGTTCCTGGCTCCAGCCCAGCTCCCAGGATGCAGGGCAGCAAATCCAGAGGGCATGGAAGGGTTGCATTGCACACCAGGGTTACTTAGAGCAGCATTTCCTATAACCCCCTGCAATTCCAGGCTAGGAGATGGATTATTCCCATGTCCTTTCTGGGAAGTGGGAGATGAAAGGGGTTTCTACACTCCCTGGAGGATGCAGAGATTATGGGGGAGAGCAGGACCTGGGTAAATCAGTTAAGTCATGGCTGTTGGTAGCTTTGTGAATGCTGCTATTCTGGTTTGAGTACCAGCTTGCTCTGTCCTGCCTCAACAGTTGCATTCTTGCAGCAGGGTTAACCCCTGGCACCAGATCTGTTGGGTCAGGGAGCTGAGCTGGAAAGCATCGGGCTCCTTTCTCCACCCCTGCAGTGATGACAGCAGCCAGGAGCAAACACTCTCAGCATTGCACTTTGTGCTTTGCTTGGTTTTGCTGCTCCCTGTAGCTCCCGTGCCTCTATTTCCCCTTTGAGCCCTCCAGATGCCTCATAGCCCTTTCATCCTTTACCTGGGGCCTCCAAAATACAGCACCCCCCCCCCGCTCACCCCACTGCACAGTGGGGCTGTTCTGACAGCACAGCATGAACCTCAGGACAGGACCAAGCCCCTACCACTCTGATGGGAAGCAGCACCAAGGAGATGACCTGGCTCCCCCATTGCACCAAAAGGGAAAAGCATACATGTTGAAGAGCCACAGATGGGGATAATTCCACTGCAAACTCTCCTGCTTTATACCCTCAGCTCTGACCCAGTTGTGGTCATGCATTGTTAATGCCAGCAGGATTATCATCTTATCATCTAGGTGCTATGATGGGGAGATGCTGATGCTTATGCTGGGTGGGCACTGGGGTGCAGGTGATGCAGGAGGATTCCCAGCTTTCCTCTGAGCTCAGGGCAAGATTTCTAGGAGGAGAGGTAGCTTGGAGCATCCCAGCCTCTACTGGGATGGGGACAGGATCTTTTGTGGAGCTGCTCCCATCCTTCTCCTCCTTGGGATTCCCTAGGTGCTGTGGGTGCAGCTCCTTCGCACAGAGTGCCCCAGTTACCAAGCAGAGCCAGCAGGGAGGAATTAGGGTGTAGCCCTTGGTCATGACATCCCCACCTCCACCCTGGGCTGCCTCCGAGGCTTTGCCTTGGCCTTCTTCCCGATTCACTGCCTTCTCAACTCACTGCTCAAACTGTTTCACAAGAAATGTCCTACTATCAAAGCACCTCCCCTGCCAAAGCCTGGAGGCGATGTTCCCTCCATCAGACCAAATGGCCACTTGCTTTTTTTATAATTTCCCTTCTTCCTTCCCTCTACCCTTGCCAACCCCCCCCCTTCCCCCCCCCCCCCTCCTGATTTCTGCCTCATGATTTATTTATCTCCTTCGCCAGCCTCTGTTGCTGCAGGAGGGAGGGGGCCCTGTTTGAATCTCAGCTGTAATTGCTCAGCTCGGATACCTTGCTGCCACTGCAAATGTGCCCACTCAGCCGTATGCCTTTCCTGGCCACTTCCCTGCTCTAATGGTATCTATCAATAATTCAGAATAATGCAAGCCAAGAGCCCAGGTTAATGGGTGCAGTGCATGCTGACAGTCGACCCGGAGCATCTCTGCCCCTGCACCCTTTGCTGTTGCCTATGTGTGCTGGTTTGGGCACATTTGCACACTTGGGGTGTAGCTGAGGTGTGGGGTGGTTGCTGTAAGAAGATGCTGTCCCCACTGGAGAATGGCATTGGGAAGCTGTTCTCAGCCCTATGCCATCTCAGTGCTGTTCCCCTGTCTTTTTGGAGTGCATTCCTTTGTCCTTTGGAGCCCTTCACAGGGGTCTCAGGGCTCTCCTTTCCCCTCTGTCCCAAAAGTGAGGCACCTGAGCAGCCCTGTGTGGATCCTCAGTCTCCTGTGGGACACCCAGGGAAGTTGGAGGCCACCAAAGGTGCTGGGAGGCCACAGCAGAAAGTTTTGCAGGCACAGGGTGGGTGCACAGCCCCACTGTCACTTGGAGGAAATTGCCACCTCTAATCTAAAGGCAGATGTGTGAGTAGTTGCCCTTTCCAAGAGCAGGGCTAGCAGACAGGTTGCACTTGATCCCCCAATACCTTCTCCATTGATGAGGTGGGGATTGGCATCATGGGCTGTGGAGGAACCGCTGTGAAGCACACAGTTCAGGGAGACCAGCTGTGCCCTCCAGGACAGGCACTAATCCCAGCTTCCTGTGTTAAAAATAAAACAAAAATAGCCCAAGCACCTTGGGGATCAGGAGGGCAGCAGTGCGGGGGCAGCTTGGAGGGCTTCAGAAGAGGATTGATTTACATGGCCAAGTGAATCCTGCGCAGTGAAACTGGAGAGCCCAGAGCCCCAGGGTCAGAGGAGTCAGCAGTTAGTGTTGTAACCTCCTGTTCTCATCACCTTCTGTATTCCCTGGCTTCCTGCGAGGCCAAGGAAGGGGCACAGGGCAGTGATACCCCAAGAGACACCACCAGGAAGGATGAAGAGGAGAAAGCTTTTGTGATGCAATGGCTGTAGGGTACCAGCATGGCCATGGGGAGTGTCTACGGATGGGGAATGGGGAGGATGCTACAGGATGAGGCACTGAGTACATGGTCACAGCTGGTTGGGTGTGCTGAAGGCTGCGGGAGTTCAAGGGACCTGAGTCAATGGCTCAGCATGGGGAATTGCTACAAAAAGGAGGATGCTGTTCATGGGAAGGGAAAGGGCAGCAGGAGCCTGCAGAGATGCTTGGGGCTGGAAGGGGCTAGGTGTTTTTTTGGGGAGCTAGGTAGGGAAAAACACCCTATATCTCAGAGGAGGAGGAAAATGGTGAAGAGTTGTGGCTCCTGCACAAACCCAGCTCCCCTGGACTGGACGGGAACTGAGGGCAGCACTGAAGCCAGCGCTGGTGTTCAATGTGACCAGCAGAGATGGGGATGTCCCCATGGTCTCTTTCCTCACTCCACCCTCTGTTCCCCCCCCAGGTGTGACCTACTCGGACACAGTGAGTGCCACAGAACCGTGCAAGCCCTGCACGCAGTGCGTGGGGCTGCACAGCATGTCTGCACCCTGCGTGGAGTCAGACGACGCCGTTTGCCGCTGCGCCTACGGCTACTTCCAGAATGAGCTGAGCGGGAGCTGCAAGGAGTGCAGCATCTGTGAGGTGGGCTTTGGCCTCATGTTCCCCTGCCGGGACACACAGGACACTGTCTGTGAGGAATGCCCTGAGGGCACCTTCTCTGATGAGGCCAATTTTGTGGATCCCTGCCTGCCCTGCACCATCTGTGAGGAGAACGAGGTGATGGTGAAGGAGTGCACGGCCACCTCTGATGCGGAGTGCAGAGGTAATGCTGCCTTTTTCCATCTTGGAGGGGAGAGCAGGGCTCTTTGTGTCTCATGGTGCCAGCACAAGCAGGTGTAGTGCTCTGTGCCACACTTTCTCCTTTGGAATGGGGAGGTGGGTGCAGATCCCCAAGGGTGGTGGAGAAGAGAGGATCTCATGTCCAGCTGAGGTCCCCTTGGGCATTTCATTATGCAGCTTCCTAATGAGCTCAGCCAAGAGGTTCAGCAGCTCTGATGCTGCTTTTGCAGCCACCAGAGCCTTCATCAAAAGGGAATTTGACAGCTCGTGGCTTTCTCGTGGGAATTAACTGCTGCTGCCTTCCAAAAGAGCTGGGGAGCAGCAGGAGATTTTGCATCATTCAATACAGCAGCCCCTCTGCTCCACTCTGTGCAGCCCCCAGACTCTGGTGGGGGCTGTTTGAGAGGTTTTCAGGGGGGGCTGGCTCTGGGTTCTTCCTTGGCTGTTCCTTGGCAGCAGCAGTGCAGTTCCCTGCCCTGAGTGCAGAGACAGAGAAAGGGGCTTTGTCCCATCCGCTACTGATTCACAGTGTGAGACGGCGGCCAGCGCAGCTCCCTTTGGCTGATCCCTTGGTGGGGTCGAGTAAATGGAGCCATAAGTCAAGGAGCACAGGGTGAGCTTTGTTAGCTGCCAGCGGGGCCCCGCCGGATGCAGCCATGCCGCCACTGGAGCGATGCTCTGAAAGGGCAGAGGGGTCCTGCTTGGGGGGTGGCACTGGGAGATGCCACGGCTTCCTTCCCACCCTGGGACAGCCAGCAGACAGAACACAGAGTGATCCATGTGCTGTGGCGGAGGTGGAGGGTCCAGAATGCAAGAGCAGAGGCTGCAAGAGCCAAATTGGGTGTTGCATTGGATTGGGTGTTGCGTCAGGGCTGCATATTTGTTTCTGTGCAGGAATAGGCTCTGCTGAGAGCAGGAATTGGGCTGTGCCCAGGAAAGGTGGTTGGGGCATGGTGGGGCAAGGAAGTGGCACAGCTCCGAGGAGGCAGAGCAGGGACATGGCCCTGCAGCACTCACAGTGGGCACAGGGGAAGTCCCTGGAGGAGGGCATGGGGAGAGCTGAGGGAGGCAGGCATTGAGGGGCTGTTTGGGCAGCCACGGGTGAACACATCGTGGTGCAAGACAAGATATATCTGCTCCATGAGACATCTGTGTGCGGGTGTATGGGTGTGAACAGGGTTACTCCCACAATGGAGCTGGGCTGGCAGTGCACACCTAGCAGGCAGGGGACAGGGGAAGGGGATGAGTGAGGTCCCCCCCTCCCAGGGCCTGAATCCCGACTCTGGTGCTGCTGGCAGCAGATGAATGCAGGCAGACGTGGCTCCTTGTGAGCTGCAGAGGCAGCTGCTCTGCCTGCATGTGGGGTAGATGGGAAGCAGCTGCAGATGCATCTGAGGGACAACGTCCAACATCAGCTCTCTGGGACCAGAGACAGGAGCCCAAGGCTCACCAGCAGGCTTGCGTAGCTGGGAGAAGAGCTGCTTTTCTCTCCTGATACAAAACCTCAGAAAGGATAAATGCTGCTTGTGCTGGGCTGGATATCCATAAGCAACAGGAGACAATGATTTTCCTCTGCTGGAAGGACTTGAGAAAACCTAGTGCAAGGAAAGAAAAGCCTTCAAAGCTATGTCCCAGCACCACAGCCACCATCAGGCACCATTTGGATCTGGGAACAGCTTCAGTTCTTCCTGGGGTCTTGGGGACGAGGTGGTTGCAAGGATAAGCATGAAAACGAGGGGCTGTGCCAGAGCTGCTGGAGGACACCACCAGGTACATGGCCTACTCTTGTCATTCCTTTTCCCTCCTGACAGACCTCCACCCGCGCTGGACAACGCACACCCCATCCCTGGCAGGTTCTGACAGCCCCGAGCCAATCACCAGGGACCCCTTCAACACCGAGGGGATGGCCACCACCCTGGCAGACATTGTCACCACCGTCATGGGCAGCTCGCAGCCTGTCGTGAGCCGTGGCACTGCTGATAACCTCATCCCCGTGTACTGCTCCATCCTGGCAGCCGTGGTGGTGGGGCTGGTGGCTTACATTGCCTTCAAAAGGTAAAGGGCTGGGGCAGCGCCGTGGGGATGTGGGTAGTGGGAAGCAGGCTGTGTCCCCTGCTTTGAGGTCCTGAGTTTGGAGCACTCAGCAAGAGTGCTGCAAAATGAGGGAGGGCAGGAGCTGAAATGCCCAAAAATGCAGCTGAGGGGAGGAAAGGGAAGATTGCAGCAGGATAGGGGTGCAAGCCGTGCCCTCCCACACCCTTATCACAAACACCCCCTGCTCAGCCCCCCCTGCTCGTGCACATCATATCCGATCATAGTCAGCAGCTCATCCCAGGGTGTGCACCTGGCCCTGCAGGTCAGGACTGGCTTGGCTGCTTTCTGTGCATCTCTGGGGGCACCACGAGGGGGGTCAGTGCCCCCTCACATCCCTTCTCAACCAGGACTTCATCCCTGGGCTCATGCATCTGCTGAGCTCCATGTGCTGCCTAAACCGATCTCATCCATCCAAATCCCTGTCACTACCCTGGACTCAGTGGTGGCTCCGCTCCAGCCCCAGAGGGCACAAATCATCACGTGCACAGACCATGAGAAGGCAGCAGTATAGGTGTTAAGGCACGGGTGTGAGATGGGAAGGCAGCAGCCACAGCTGTGCCATCATGTGGGTGCAGCGATGCACGTGGGGACCTGCATACAGCCCCATGTGCCCCAGGGGCACAGGCACGTGTGTGTGGGTCCATGCAGAAGGGGGCTTGGTCCTGGTCCATTGCAAAGTTCAGGAGCTGGGCACCTGCAAAAGCAGAGCTGATTTAACCTGGTGCATCTGCTGCAGAGGTTGAGCCAAAAGTTGCATGAAAAATGCACATCTCCTTGGGAAAATGCTCTCAAGCAGGGCACAAAGCAACGGACCCACTCCCAAAAGGAAAGGTGCAAGCAAAGGGATGCTGATCAGGGGGACAGTGACAGTGCCACCACCACTTTCTGTGCAGGTGGAACAGCTGCAAGCAGAACAAGCAGGGAGCCAACAACCGCCCTGTGAACCAGACGCCTTCCCCGGAGGGGGAGAAGCTGCACAGCGACAGCGGCATTTCAGTGGACAGCCAGAGCTTGCACGACCAGCAGCCGCCCAACCAGAGCACACAGGGACCAGGTAGGGTGATGAGGGCTGCGGGGTGGAAGGGATGCGCAGCATCACAGCTCCTTAACACATTCCCCCATTGCTTGCCCTCCCCAGCACCAAAGGGAGACGGGAACCTGTATGCCAGCCTGCCGCCCAGCAAGCAGGAGGAAGTGGAGAAACTGCTGAGCAGCTCGGCGGAGGAGACGTGGCGGCAGCTGGCCGGGGAGCTGGGCTACAAGGAGGACCTCATAGACTGCTTCACGCGGGAGGAATCGCCCGCCCGAGCGCTGCTGGCCGACTGGTCAGCCAAGGAGACGGCCACTCTCGATGCCCTCCTGGTGGCTCTCCGGAAGATCCAACGTGGGGACATCGCTGAGAGCTTGTACAGCGAGTCCACCGCCACCTCACCGGTGTGAAGGGCGGCCTGGGGGGGGGAGGTGCAGCCAGGGGTCCCCTGCCCTGCTGCCTCATTGTCTCCCCCCTCCCTGGCACCGAGAGCCCTGGAGAGGAAGATGGGGAGGAAGAGGGGGCCCCCCACCCCTCCTCGCTTTATGGCCCTGTATGCACTGAGCTCCTGTTTTCGGTATCGCCCCCTCCCACCTCCGCCTCCCCCTGGCAGCCCATAACCCGGGCTCAGGGTCCTGCTCTGTGCCTGCTCCCGAAGCAGTCTTGAGGGCAGGAGTGAGCACCACTCTCAGGTCTCTCCTCTCTCCATTTCTAACGCCTTCTCCTGGTTCCAGGTCTCCATCCTACCCTTTTTTCCATTGTCTTTCTCACTGTTGTCTTCTGCTCCCATCTGATGCCCCCAAATTCAGCTGCTTTCCCCAAGCTGCAAGCAAAGAGCAGAGCTGAGGTGGGCACAGAGAGCAGCAGAGCAGTTGCAGCAGGATTTGGGGATGGGGCTGTGCCTGAGGGTGGGCTGGGGGAAAGGACTCTGTTTCCAGCAGCCTCACCTACACTGTGTAACTTGGGGTGGGCTGTCCCCATGCTCAGGGCTGGCAGGGTTTGGTCTTGATACAGAGCAGACACCAAACACTGGGGGCAGCTCTAAGGAGAGCTCCAGGAGGGGAACACCAAAGTTCTAAAGGGCTGAAAAAGTGCCTGCAACAGGGATGTGACAAAAGGGCTTTGCTCATCCTTCCTTCACCACAAACCAGGTGTGCCCCTCACTGCACTGGCCCGGGATCAAAGCCACCCAGGTGCCCCATGCCAGCCCTGACCTGACCCCCAGCTCATAGCTTTGGGGTCCCAGCCCCAGCTCCTCTCCCAGCAGTGATGCTGGAGGAGCAGCTGCCAGGTGAACACCCTGAGACGTGGTCCTGGAGGACGTCCCCATAGTCCTGGAGGATGTCCCACTCAATGGGGCAGGTTCACCACCTCCCTCCTCTGGAGGCTGTTGGCAGAGCAAGGACTGCAAGGCGAGTTCACGCATGGATCTGCATTCATCCGAACCTCCCCTCTCACCTCGTGCTTCATTCAGAAGCTTTACCAAGTGCAGAAGGTGATTTTCTTTCCCTCTTTAAGGAGCTAAGCAAGACTTGTAAATAATTCTGTGTCGTTTTACTAACGTTCAATGTTTCTACGTCTGGTGTGGATGACCTCTGCTGCAGCGCACCGCGGGCTGCTCGCTCACAGCATCGTGCCTGCAAGCTGAGCTTTCCCTTTTGCAGCCATGTCCTCGTTCCCACCTTGTCTTAAAGACTGGCCTTAAAGACTCAATGGAGAATGCAGGGAAATGCGCACATGCACGCTCCAAAAATGATCGCAAAACTCAAAAGAATTGAAGGATTTGGCCATTCCTGGTTGTTGCAGGGGGAGCTTTGTTCTTTGCAGGCTGTTTCTCTTTGACTATCAGGAAGCACTTCAGGTTGCCCAAATAGATTGTGGATTCTCCTTGCTGGAGATCTCCAAAGCCTACCTGGATGTGGTTGTGGGCACCATCCCTTGGGGGGCACCGGGTGGACCCAGAGGTGCCTCCAGCCTCAGTCAGGCTGGGATTCTCAAAGCTAATCTCAATGGGAACTGAGCACTTAATTCCTTTAAAAGCCTTTGGAATGTTGCTGCCTGTGTTTCAGAAAATATTGGGATCACATTGGGATGGTCAGCGCCTCATGCAAAGCCTACGTGCAGCAAGAGCAGAGACCCCTTCATGAGAACAGTTGTGCCATACCTTGACCACTGGCTCCACACACTGAACTTGTTGGACGGGAAGATTCAATCCCAACAGGTCCACGTTTTCCATCTCTGCATCCTGAATCTCTCCCACCACTGAAGTCCAAGGGAACTGCCCCAGATGTAATCCCCTGGCTGGGGCGCTGACTCCTCCAGACCAAGCCATTCCCATGGATGCTTTGGGACAAGTGTAAATGCTGGTTGTTGCATTGTTGGTTTCATCAGACCCTTTTTTCTTTTTCTGGAAGAAGTGACTCAAACCAAGCACTGGGTGCCGCCAACTTTGGATCCCAAACTGCCTGCTTCAGTCTGGCCAAGCCCACGTTTGCAGTGCCAGACATAAATTGCTTTTCTTCAGGACAATATTGCCACGGTCTCAGGTTTCTATTGCCATAGCAAAGGGTCGTTTCCTCACCCTTTGACCAACCTCACGGCTGAGAAAACAGAGACAAACTCAGCATCCAAAGAGAAGCCACGGGATGCCTCGAATCCCACATTGCAGGAAAAAGAATAATATTAACAATAAAAAATACAAAAAAAAAAAAAAGAAAGAAAAAGGGAAAAACAAGCCAAAGTTAGTGCTCGTCGGTACGTTCTGTGTCCTTTTCTAATGTTTCTGTTGTACAAAGAACGTGAGTTTCTCCACTTGTTCCCCCGATCCCTTCTGTAATACCAATGCCAGTTTATTAGAGAGTCTTACGGTGAAGAAATCGCCGTCGTAGAAGGAGTTTGTGGGTGTGCTGGGAGGGCTGAGCAGCATGAGGTGGGAGGGCATCTGCACGGGGGTCGGCTCGGCGGTTCTATCATTGTGTATCTGTTGGGTGCCAATAAAGAGCATCACAACGTTGGCGTGCCTCTTGGTTTTCCCCAAGCAAGAGTCAAAGACTCATTTAGGTTGACTAAGAGCATCCAGTCCAACCATCAGCCCATTCTGCACCCTGAGCTGTCAGCAGTGCACGCAGGGTCAACCTCAGGTCCTACACAAAACTCCAGATCAAGGCATGTTTGGGATAGGGGCAAATTTTTGCTTTGAGTCCAGGAAGGGGCAGGAAGGCTTCATTCCCAAATAGGGATTTTTTATTCTAAATGCACACACTTTGGCTTTGGGCAACCAAATTTAGGGTGAAAACATCCCTGTCTGATGGAGGACCAGGCTTTGGATGAGCTCCAGCACTCTCGGTGACAGATCAACATCCTCCCCCAAAAGAGTCTTATAGCAAAGAGCTGATGCCATGTCCCCAGTTATGGGCAAGCAGGGAAATAAAAGGGCAGTGGGGACTGCATGGGGCTGCTGCTCCATAACTTTGCATAAGGTTGCGTGTGGGTTTGCACAGAAGTATTTACACATTGCAGTTTATGAGAACTTGAAATAGGATGCTTCAATGTAACCGGTTTTATTTTCGGCTGGCAGGAAATGTAATGAGGACCAGGACTACAGACACATAAAAGATCGTTCCCTTCCCTTTTTTTTTTTTCCAGGCTCCCACATGGTACTGCAAATAAACAAGGGGAAACAATTGCAATCAATCCATTAGGTTTAATCTGCTTCCTCTTAATCTCCATCCTCCCCTGGGAAAAAGGCTGGAGCAGAGAAGAGGAGCAGAGCCAGGCTGAAAGCAGAGCTGGAAGGTGTCTGCCCTCAGCACCCAGGAGAAGTTGGACTTACAGACAGAATTGTGTGTGTGTATGGGGGGGTCCATGTGTACCCTTCACTCCTACATTGTCCCCATATTCATGGCTGAATGGCAGAGAAGGAGCTTTGCTAGGTAGTCTTCATGTGCAGGGTCAGCTGCAGTAGGTGGCCCTTGGGGAGAGCAATCTGATTTATGGTTAGTTCAGGAGGGGGAAAAAAAAAGAAAAAGTAATAATAAGATCTGCAAAGGAATTTGATGTTTGCATGGGCTGCTGAGCAAGGCTTTGGGAAGGGTGCTGGGAAGCTTCCTTTCCCTCACTTATGGGTATCTGGAGAGGGAGAGGTCAACCCCAGGCTTAACCTCACCTCTGCTGCAGTGAGCTCAGTAGGGGACAAAGGAGGGCAGCTGTCAGCACTGGAATATGGGGACAGGACTGGACCCAAACTCCCTCTCCAGTCACTTGCTATTGCTTGGCTGAGCCATCTTATCCTTGGCACAGGGTCTGAGATAAGCTCCGAACCCCCACAAGCCATGGCATGGGGCCATCACCCCTTTTAATCCCCATGTCCTAGCAGATGCCTCCATCCCATTCCATCCCTGGGGTGGGGGAAGGGGCACTGCCTCCTGGGCACAATCGTGCCCCCAAACCTCACCAGTCACTGAGAAAAAGAGAAATAAAACTACCCTCCCCCTCCCCCCCCCCCTCCACAGTGTATCAATATGCTTTCACCCCATGCATGAGCAGAGAGCTGCAACCCTCCTTCTGTGTAGGAACAACGATGAGAATGGAGCTTTCAGAATTGCAGCAAGGCTTTACACATGAAACAACAGCTCACAGCACCCAGCTGCAGCTGAGGAGTACTAAGCTCACCTCCATTTCTTCCCCAAGCATCTGTCTGCTTCCACAAAGGAGACAAGCAAGTGCTCTTGCAGATCACCCCAAGGCTATGATGGGGACAGCAGGTGCAGGGCAGGGGGGATTTGGGGCACTCAGGTCCTGACCTCCCCAGGGCACCGTGAGCTGCCAGCAGTGCCTGCAGCAACGGAGCTCAGCTCCCCCCTCCCACCCCCAGGCAGAAATCTGCCCACCATATGGGCTGCATTCCCCTGTAATGGGAAGCAGGCATTGCATCACAAGGGGCTGTGCTGTCCCATCGGCCAGGCTCAGATGTGCATGGCCTGAGCCTCTGTGATTCTTGATGCTGGTGCACATCTTCAAGCCCCAGCAGAAAGCAGTGCTGGGATTGAAATGGGATAAGCCTGGCCTCAGAGGGCAGAAGCAATGTGCCAGTGCCTTCCAAGGCAGAACAGAACAGGGGAAAAGGTGACTCAGGATGTCCCCACATGGACAGGAGACACAGGGGGGCAGGGTGCAGATGTCCTGGCACACAGAGTTATGAGATGAGGACATCTGGGTGGGGACAGAGCCAACGCCATCCCCTGCAGCCACAAAGCTACCCCAATGTCACGCAGCCAACAGACAGCCCTCCTTCACTCATATGGGAAGGATTGTCCACATAACAAGCAAAGACAGAAGAGACCTCCAAAGCACAACCCACTTCACCTCCTTAGACAAGGGGAAAACCTCCTCATCATGCACAGGGCAGCAGAGACAGAAGGGAGATCTGCTCTGCCCCTCCTCACACCTAAATATCCCCCAGGTGACCCTGCTGGGCCACAGCCAGAAACAAAGCATGGGGATGGGAGGAGAGGTCTGGGTTTTAATAGATGTGGCCCTACAAGCAGAGAGAGGGAAACAGCCCCAGGTGGGTGCATTCAGGTAGAGAATTAATGGTGGAGACAGTGTGAGAGTTGATACCTCAGCAAGGCAATGGTCTCCTCCATGTACGTGCAGTTCCTACTGATGCTGTGTTGAATCATCTCTGTAAGTGCATGAGGGGTATGAAACGTTGCCCAAAACATGCTGAGAAAACCCAGATCCAAGAACCTGAGAGTAAGGATGCAAAGGAGGCACTCAGCAAACCCCATAGCAACCCTCAGTTAGGAAAGCCCGGGGATAAATGGGGGACAACTCCCTGATTTTCCTCAAAG